TGAAGGCTTTAATTTTAAGGGGATGTTCCCTACTCATGTGCGACTAAAAGATTTCAAATTTAACCCTTCTCGTGCTGCCTTTTCCACGGACCAGCAACTTTCCATTTGTCGGGTCACTGAAGTTGACATCTACAACTGACATGCCACATAGCTGCACAATTAACTTCCCGAACTTCGAGGGTCAGTTCATCACAATTTTAGCTACTGTGATTCCTTGCGGCCTTGCTACGGCACGAAAAGTGCAAGAACGCACAATCGCACCGGCCCGCCTAGTGCATTCCAGCTTGGGTTTACTAGTCTGACCATTGATCTTCCAAAATTGTTATAGATATGGACAGATGTTGCTCTTTATGACGCTTTTTTTAATGCATTTTTTTGTGTTTTTTGCATCTGTGCAGTGTAAAGGCGTATATTTTCGAGGGGTTTTCTGTTTGTATATCTGCGTATGCGTCTGCATCGGGTTTTCATCTCGAGACCTACAAAAATTGCAAAGCTGGAACTTTGGCAATATAATCTGAACTTTTGTATGGGCGTCTCTCCTCAAGATTAGCACACACACCCACGTGTTTTAACGTGCTGCCACGTGAAAGTTTTTTTGGCGGGAAAGCGGTTTCGGGAACAACACAGGCTAGGAGGCTGGAACTTAATGAAAATGTTTTTTAGCCACGTGCAACCCAAAGGCTTGAAGATCTGTCTTCACGCACCCATCGACCTCACATACGTACACGATGAAGTTTAAATTGGCACCGTGCCAACCCGACAATTAATCTGAGCAAGGGGTTGTAAAAAGCGTAATTTTGCAGCGTTGCTTGTCGCCCACTGATGTGCTCAAGAAAGTAAATTGGGTTTTCCAGCCCCTCCTCACCTCATGTGTGGACACGTAAAAATTTAACGTAGACAGTGTTATGGTCTCGGAACTTAAACAGCTAAAGGGTTGAAAGTTTCGGAGCGTAACCGACGAAGCTTTAACCATATGGACGTGGAAACAACTTTCACGTCCTCTTCATTTTCCACGTACGCCTCACGTACGGGCACGTGAAACTTGACTTGAGTTCACAACCGAAGCTCTGAAATTTTCTGAGCATGGCTCATGACCGGATTTGGGCGGTAGCGCATAAAAGAATATTCATGTTTCCCCTTGCTTATAAGAACACGTGAAATTTGACACAACTCCATAACCAGAGTAGCTGGAGTGCTAAAATTTTTTGAGCTTGGCCCAAAACTGTATTTGGATAAGTGCACGTGAAGATAGTGTCTGCGTTTTCCCTTACGTTTCCTATCCAAATTTTGACCACACAGCTACGCTTCTGTATGTTATCTTAGGTCT